GAGACTCTCTTCTTCAATTTGCACAAAATTATATATATCCCTTAAGGCAGCTTGTTTCTTATGAGCAGGGAAATATTTAGCAGAGAAGTAATAAATCATATCATGGGGACTACGCACACAACCAGGATCAAGAGAATTAAACCATATCTTAGCATCACCCTTTAATGAGAACGGAAATATTTTAAGGATATAAAAGTAGCGAGTTCTCTCATCATTAGTGAACATGGTGGCTATATCATTTAATTTAGTAAGATGTGCCACAACATTTTCAGATTCATAGTCATAAGAAGGATCAGATTCAGCCAAAGTAATTATATCAGGATCAATAGAGAATTCATAATCCTTATTAGTAACAAAGATAGGTGAAGTAGCATAAGCAGGATCATATTTCATTCTAGCATTCAGAGTTTTTTGTTTAAGCTTAGCTAATAATTTCTTAAGATCACTTTTATCATTGCATGCAAGAAAGTCTCTTTTAGTTTCTTCATCCATAACATAGCCCTCAGGCACAACAGGCAATTCATATTTATTAGAAGAGCCTTCATCATCACTTTCATCAATATTATTAGTTTCAATAATTTCATTCTCTCTAGCCCTAGCAAGTTGTTCATCAAGAAATTCACCAAGTGGCACAGTAGTATCAAGCCTAGAAGTAGTTTCATCATAAGTATCATGCATAGCAGAAGTGGCATCATCAATAATATGCGACATATCAGAATTAATAACAGAAGCAGGTTTAGGTGTTGCAAGCTTACTCAAAACAGAAGGTGAATCAAGTGCAGAGATAGATGGAAGTTCCTTACCTTCCCTCGTAGTTGAGGGATAAATTTTTGTTTTCGCGTCTTTCATGTTCTTCATAGTGACCAGCAGATATAAATCCCAAGTGACTCAAAGAATAGAGCCATGCTCCCAGGCAACAGCGCCAGAAAATAGTCTTGATAACCCATAAGTATAGGGGATCGCAACAGTTTTCGAGGGTAGAGTGTTCAACCCAAATTTATTGATTCAACACAAGGGGAGCCAAAAAATATTCTCAAGTATTAGCAGCTGAGTTGTCAATTCAACCACACCTGGAAACTTAATATCTGCAACAAGTGTTTAGTAGCAAAGTAATATGATAGTAGTGGTAACGGTAGCAAAAGGTAACGGTAGCAAAAGTAATATTTTTGGTATTTTGTAGTGATGATAACAATAGCAACGGAAAAGTAAATAAGCGAAGAACAATATATGGAAAGCTCATAGGCAATGGATCGGTGATGGAGAATTATGTCGGATGTGGTTCATCATGTAACAGTCATAACCTAGGGTGACATAGAACTAGCTCCAGTTCATCAATGTAATGTAGGCATGTATTCCGAATATAGTCATACGTGCTTATGGAAAAGAACTTGCGTGACATCTTTTGTCCTACCCTCCCGTGGCAGCGGGGTCCTAGCAGAAACTAAGGGATATTAAGGCCTCCTTTTAATAGAGTACCGGACCAAAGCATTAACACATGGTGAATACATGAACTCCTCAAACTATGGTCATCACCGGGAGTGGTCCCGATTATTGTCACTTCGGGGTTGCCGGATCATAACACATAGTAGGTGACTATAGACTTGCAAGATAGGATCAAGAACTCACATATATTAATGAAATCATAATAGGTTCAGATCTGAAATCATGGCACTCAGGCCCTACTGACAAGCATTAAGCATAGCAAAGTCATAGCAACATCAATTTCAGAACATAGTGGATACTAGGGATCAAACCCTAACAAAATTAACTCGATTACATGATAAATCTCATCCAACCCATCACCGTCCAGCAAGCCTACGATGGAATTACACACACACACGGCGGTGAGCATCATGAAATTGGTGATGGAGGATGGTTGATGATGACGACGGCGACGGATTCCCCTTTCCGGAGCCCCGAACGGACTCCAGATCAACCCTCCCGAGAGAGTTTAGGGCTTGGCGATGGCTCCATATCGTAAAACGCGATGAATCCTTCCCCTTTATTTTTTTCTCCCCGAACACGAATATATGGAGTTGGAGTTGAGGTCGGTGGAGCTCCAGGGGGCCCACGAGGCAGGGGGGCACGTCCAAGGAGGGCAGGCGCGCCCCCACCCTCGTGGCTAGGGTGTGGCCCCCTGGCCTTGATTCTTTGCCAGTATTTTTTATTATTTCCAAAAATAATCTCCGTGGAGTTTTAGGTCATTCCGAGAACTTTTGTTTCTGCACATAAATAACACCATGGCAATTCTGCTGAAAACAGCGTCAGTCCGGGTTAGTTCCATTCAAATGATGCAAGTTAGAGTCCAAAATAAGGGCAAACGTGTTTGGAAAAGTAGATACGACGAAGACGTATCAGTCCACATGCTGGCAAAATTTGGTGTCATTTCATGCATAGTAGCAAACACATAATATACAACCTAAACCGTTCGGGTAGGCCGACAAGGCATGTCTGGAAACACTTTTTTACCTCCACCAAATAGGCCTATTTTTTTGCACATTGGCATCACCATGGCCAACATGCATGCCAAGTTTCATCGATTTATGACATTTTATGCATTTTCTAGGGTTTTTTCGAGTGAAAACCCCCTAAAACACAGGCCGAACATAACACAACGTGCATTCGGTGTTCGAATTCATTCAAATTTTGCGTGGAGGACAACCTTGTTTTTTCACATTAACCAAATGGATCCAAATTTGATTGCATGGGGGGAGAACCCTAGAAAATGCATATAAAGTTGGGTAGGACAAAAGGCCCCCTCTGAGAGCACGCTACTTCTCGACATTGTTTTTCATCCATCAACTAGCCCCAAAATATTCCACCAACTTCTTTGACGAATTCAAGGCATCTCAAAATGTTTGGATTTTGACAAGTTTTGTGTTTTCTGCAATTTTCTCAGTGAAAAAGGGTTGATAAATGGCCGGACATGTCGCAACGTGCAAACGGCGTAGGAAGTCATTCAAACCTAGCATGGACGCCTCATATGTCCGTGTCAGGCTGCTCCAAGAAGTTGGGGTTATTTATCCATAGTCTCCAAAAAATACCAGTTTTAGGAGTGTGCTATACTTCGGGTGCATCCGTGGGCATGTAGTTTTTTTTCTAATTTGAATGCCTATGGTATTTGCAATTTCAGTCATTATCAATCAACATGAATATTTTCTTATATCCATGTAATTTCTTGAAATTGGTCAACAATTTTGGAATTTCAAATTGTGTGCGAAAATTTTATAAACTTGAACACTTTTTCCAAAATTGTGAACAGATACCCAACAATTGATGTTGTACACAAATTGCAAACCACATACTTTTTAAAAATCTATATATATTTTTGAAATGCAACCATTTCTTAACGAAAAAAATTCAAAAACAGGATTTTTTTTTGAAAATCCAATTTTTTTTAAATTATAAACAATATTTGAAAACAAGAACAATTTTTGGTGTTCCAAAAATATTTCAATTTTTAAATAGGTTTCAAAAATGATAATGAGGTTCAAAAGGAGAAAAATGAATTAACGGAAAAAGAAAATAAAACGAAAAAAATAAAGAAAAAATGCTCAGGCCTTGGTTCAACTAGACGCCGACATCGCTCCCGTCGGGTGCCTGTTGGGCCGACCCAAGCATTCGCGGATTTAAAAAAAGTTCATCAATTTTGAAGAAAAAAATGTTCATGAATTTAAAAAAAAACACGGGCTTTGACAAATGTTAGTAAAAGTTGAAAAGAGTTCATGGATTGAAAAGGTTCACAGATTTTAAAATAAAGTTCAACAATTTAAGAAAATATGCATGAATGTTAAAAGTTCATGGTTTTAAGAAAAAGGTTGATGTTTTAAAAATAGTCACGAATTTTAATAAAGAAAAGGAAATGGAAAAGAGAGAAAAATAAAAAAAAAGTAGAAGGAAAACGAGACAAACAAAAACAGAAAAAAATAAAACCACAACATGTTTCGAAAGATGTTCGGAAATTGTTCATGTTTCGAAATTTTGTTCAAATTTCAAAAAATGTTTGCTGAAATTTCGTTCATAAATTCAAAATTGTTCGACATTTCAAAATTATTCACATTTTTTATATAAAATTTCCGATTTTTTTAAAATGTTTCATATATATTAACGTTCTTATGTTTTTTTGTATTTCGTGCTAGAATATATCACATACAGTGGTGGGGTGAAGTGGCTAGCAGCTCGCGACATACTTTTGAAAAAGACGATCTTGTCTTTTTTTAAAAGAAAAATTGTATATGGTAATCTCAACCGTTAATATTAGCCCTTGGCTTCTGGTCAGTTAGTTCCCTCCACTGTCATATTCATACCTAGCTGCCGAGTTCAATCAGCAACCAAGCAGAGTAGAACTGTTCACTTTTTAAACAAGGGAGGAGAGGAATCAATTCCTCTGCTTCTACTCTGTTCGTTTCTTCAAGGAGAACAATTCTACCATCACCATTGTCTGCCAATTCCTTGCCTTGTTTCAGTTTTTTCGAGTTGATTTGATCCGTAAACTGTCATTTGACCTAGGCCCTACCTGTCCGTATGTGCTCGCTCACAAATGCACATCTGCTACATCGAATAAACACACCGCAGGGACAGAACAACGAATAAATACACAGGCAGAAAATACGTATATATGATAACGCAACTATCCAACAACCGCTAATATTTCAACAGTTTATTGCAAACCATCGGAGACAGATAAATTGGATGTTGAGCATCTCTTCCGCGATGTTACAAACCAAGGGAAACACGCGAGTTCAGTGTTCAATGGGTTCACACCATTTTTACAGGGTATATAGTTGCACGTTTCGTTATCAAGGACCATATATAGCCCACTGGGAGGTTAAAAAAGATAAAACCAGTGTGCGTTATTTGCATACATCATCAGATTCTGCAGCGTGTAGCCAGCCGATGACGCGGTGACCGCGGCAGCACCGCTTCACTCACAAGATCAGTGGCATACAATGGACCAAGTATATTGGTAGGCGGGTTTAAGGATCACACGACTTCACGTTTTAGGGGGTCTCAGGCTCTGATGATGAAGTATATTGGGCTCTCCTTTCCAGCCGGTAGCCTGGTGTTTGACAGTTTAGCAAACAGATTAAGAAAGAAACGATCATAACAACTCTTGACATGGAAGATATATATGGTGATGCACTGATGCTATGCAACACACACACAAAATGATATTATTGTGAGAGAGATTTTATTTACCATCAACATATGCTACAGGAACGTGCTGAAGCTTTTCCCAATTGGGATCTCCAACTGTTCTGCATGAACTCATCAACATCTCATTGGAGCGACTGAGTTTGAAGCACTCAAGAGACTGCGGCAGCGTTGGAAGCGACCGAATATTCCTGCAGCCCTTGAGGCCCAGGTCCTTCAGTGACGTCAGGTGCTCCATTTGATCTGGCAAGGTGTCCCAGCTGCAACCGAAGATATAGAGTGAACGGAGGTGGGAGCAAAACCCACCAAGTTCTGGGCCAAGTTTTGTGCTGCAACAGTGCAGGCTGAGTGTGTTGAGATACTTTGGGCCACCATTGTGCTTACCCATCATCCAACTTGGGTAGCTCAAACCATCGTAGCAGTATATGGTCAGTGATTCGAGAAGCTTCGGTGGGCATAGACCCTCTAGTACCTCTGTCTGAACTTTCTTTTCTTTTAACTCTGCTCTGTCATCATAATTCCACCACAGTTCCAATGTTCTGAGCCCTTGTTTATCGGCTAGGTTGGCTTCAAGAGCTTCCTGCTGGCTTTCAACGTTTTGGAGGCCCAAGATAGTCAGTTTGCCGCAAAGCTGGTTTAGGTCGCTGAGTTGCTTTAACTCGCACCCTTGTTCCTTTCTTACTTCAAATGTTTCCAGCGTTCGAAGTAATGTCAGCCTGCCAATGCTTTGAATTTCCTGAAACGGCACTTGGATTATATGTCGCAAGTTGATGAGGCTAAACATATCTTCACACGAGTCAAACACCAAATCACTAATATTACCAAAATCTAGAACCTGCATGTGGTAAAGCTTGGTCAAAGTGCCTGGTAAAACCAGCCTGCTGTCTGAACCATATCTAGTCATAAAAGCAAGATATCGTAGATGCCTTAGCTGACCAATAGATTCTGGGACTGACAACATACCTTGATCACTAGCTATGATAAGCACCCGCAACTTCCTTAGCTTCGCAAACAGACTCTTGAGGACTTTCTCCTCAACTGGTTTTTTCCATTCTGCACTGTCAATGATGAGAGTGCGCAGGTTATCCAATTTACATATTTTCTCAATGATCAATTCTGAACCATAGGTCTGAACAAAAACATGGCGGACGTCTGGGGGAACTTCATCTTCACATCCTTCCATTGTCCAGTTATCTCCTGACCTTTTCCACTGATTCTCGATTCTGAAACAATCACTTCCAGCGACCTTATCCGCTAAATCAAGCAACAGATCATGAACTATATAAGCGTCCATTTTATTGGAGTACTTCCCTACTTCAGGTTGCAGAAATGAGGCTGACACTAGTACATCAAAGTATCCCTGGCAAACATCTTCCAAATCCTTGCCTTCATCGCTACTTCTAGCAAACCCTTCTGCAGCCCAAAGCTTAACTAACTCATGTCGTTCCAAGTAACGTCTTCGAGGAAAAATACTGCAGTAAGCAAAGCATCGTCTGACCTGTTCATCAAGATGTTGGTAGCTCCACCACAGAGCTCCCATGGTGTCATCCAAGTGGTTCCCATCTCGGGAACTTCTCCAGTAATCAATGTTTGGCCTCATACGTAGCTGTCCTCCAACAATTTTGGCCGCCAGAGGTGATCCCTTCAGCTTTTTTGCAATGTGAGTCACAATGTCTTCGAGTCTTATTCGGTCATCAGCAGCAACGCACACGTTCTGAAATGCATAGTGCTTGAATAATTTCAGGAAGACATCTTTATCTAGGACTGACATGGGAATACATCTCTGCTCTACAGCACCCAGAGCTATCAATGCGTCTTTAGTTCGACTAGTCACCAGGATCTTGCTTCCTGCCTCTCCAGCATTCAGCGGTGAAAGTATCTGTTGCAGCTTCTCATACTGCCTCACATCTCTATTATTGTACCAAACATCATCTAGTACCAAGAGGAACCGTTTTCCATGCAGTTTCTTCTCCAAATTAGTCTGTAAGGTGTCAAGATTATTGAACTGAGGGCACGGGGTCCTGCTAGCGGCCTCAGACATCTGCCTGAAAATGGCATCCACACTAAAATCCTGAGAAACGTGAACCCACATAACAAGGTTGAAATGACCATCCTTTTGCTCACGAGCACAAACAAGTTGTGAAAGGGTTGATTTTCCAGAACCACTGATGCCATGAATGCCGATTACGGAATAACATTGAGCCCTATTGGTGTCTGGTTGAGCATCTTCTTCCTTATCATGAAGCATTGCAACTATGTTATCACAATCTTTATCTCTTCCGATTACCAGAGGTGGAGGCCTCGCCGTAGTGACCGCACCTCGTGAGTTGGCAGGTTTGCTCAAATTAACATTGCTTTTGTTTGGCAAGTTCATCTGTTCAAAAAATCCACATGCATCATTTATGACCTTTTCTATTTTTTCTAGGCTCTGCTTCAACTCGATTTTTGACATGCCACAGTCCTGCAAAACAAAATACCAAGCGAGGAAATCGATGAATGAGAAAATATTTCTACGGATCCGAGAAATATACATTAAAAAAAACTGAAGTTAGTTTTAATTTTAAGCTTGATTAGCAAAATAAGATTATTTTTAATATTATCCAACTCAGTTTTTGTTCGTCAGCTTGATATGGTTGCTAAGTTGTAAAGCCAGTGAGCCCCAAATAAACCAGAAAATCAAAGGTAGAGTTGATACTCCCCTTTTGCAATTATTCTAACATGTTTTCATGCAACAATTTAACAAAAAAAACCTTTTTATGCCCGAGATAAAATACAAACAAATAGAGGCAGTAAAGGACCTGATCTTTCAGGAAGTTGCACTTTTTCATGGCAGACGTCAAGAGCTTCTTCACATGACTCTTGTTGCGTCGAGGCCCGGCCACCTCTAACTTGAGATAGTCATCCTGTATCTGTTTCTCTAGGAGGTAATACTCAACATCATCCAAGATGTCCTCTGCTTCGTAGAAAGCAGACTTAAGATCGTTGAACAGCTGCTGCAGACGATGCCTGTAAGGGCTCTCCTCGACTATTTCCATCACGCGCTGCAGAAGCAAAATCTTTGGCTCCAGTTCCTTGAGCTTCTGCGACGCATCAAAGTTGAGGAGGGAGGAGGCTTTCTTGTAGAGCTCGGAGATGATGGGCGAGGCCACCCACCCAGCGGCTTTCATGGCCCATCCTACAGCGACAGCAGCGGACACCGGATCCGCCATTAGAAGCCGCAAGTCGTCGGGCGATTGGCTGGAGAGTATGCCGACACGAGAGTGAATCCACATGGAGCTCAAAAAAGCAAGCGTAGCGTAGATGGGGTTGATCTAGAGGCTGGGTGTGGGGGTAAATTACCTTGGCCGAAAGCGGTGAGGGTCTGGTCAAATCCGGCGGCTGAAGGTGCTGGGCTGATGGCGGTCGATTCCTTGTGGCGAGAAGATCCGGGACGGCGTTCAGCGGCTGGAGGCGGTCGCCGTGTCTAGGTTTCCGGCAGCGGAGCGGTGGCCGGAAATGGAGTGGCCGAGACCATAGCGCCGCTGCTGCACGTGTGGGGCCGGCCAGAGTGAAGGGAAAGTTTTCTCAAATCTCCAACAGCCTATTTAGAAAAAACGATGCTCGTACATACATATGCACGCACGCACACTCTGTCTCTACGAGCACCTCTCAAAAACTGAAATACAACATCATTTTAAGATTGATAAAAGTCGTCACAGACATCTTCATAATTGACGGGACGCACATCACAAAAAGAACTGAAATAAACCCAGAAAAATGTAAGATATCAAGTTTAAAATTTAAACTCATAAGCGTTGGAGATGTCAGCGTCCTTCTAATCATTAAACCACATATTATTTCGCAAACGCTTTTTTATCTGTAGAAAGGGTTTGCAAGTAAGGTGCTTTTTTCAAGAGAGCTTTTATGCCACTTTATGGCATCTTCAATGTTAACCCGTAAAATTTGCTTCGACATTTGTCCGCAGATAAGGGGGACAAGTATGCGGCAATGTTCAGGAAATCGGTAATCGGTAACTGCTCGATCGGCTAGGGAGTAGGAATTAATCGTGAATCGGACAATTAATCGGTCGACCGTTAATCAGTTAGTTTTTTTCTTATAAATCTGAATCCTGGTGTTGGGGCCAGATTTTTGCCACGCAAAAATGTAATTTAAATGGCCTCAAATGAATAAGTACTCGATATGGAAAAATGTTCAACATGAAAGTTATTTTTATTGGCAATGCGAACAACTTTTAAGTTTTGATGATTTTGATCTAAGGTCATATGTGACATGTGAGTTCAAAAAACCAAACAGTTATATGAGTGTATGACAACAATGCTCTAAAATATGATATATTCAACAAGTATGGCAACAATCATCATGTGCTTTTGTCTCTAAGACTTGTAATAACTTGATAACATATAATCATAGTTCTTACATTTGCATAACATAACAAGGTCCACAAGTATGCATGACAGTTGACAGTATGACATCGCAAGGTCCACAAGTATCAAGTATGTATGACAATATAACATAACAAGGTCCACAAGTACATATGATAGTATGACATAGCAAGGTCCACAAGTGAAAATTCACAACAGCCATAAAACACAAATAATCATAGTTCTTGACTTCTTGCGTAAGTGCATAATATAACTATGCGGACATGGATGCGGAAAGCCGACCATCCAACTCTACTCGCATACATCTGACCCTAATTTTTCAAAGTTCAGGCGTTCAAATAGCCGCATATATAGGCTAAAATAGTTCAAATGTTCAAATGCAACAATAGTTCAAACAAAAAAAGTTCAAATATTACACTCCAATATTGTCATCCCTCTTAACAGCCCACAGATGCTCAACGGATCTTTCTTCAGTTGCTCGCTGTCAAATTTGTTGATACATTTGAACAAACTCTTCAAATTTGGCTAGATTTTGATAGGGAAGTTTGATAGGATCACCGATGTTTGGGTAAATTGTTGAATATCATCACATTTATGGCTAGGGTACTCCAAAACTACTCCCTCCGTCCCATAATATAAGAACATTTTTTATACTAGTGTAGTGTTAAAAACGTTTTTATTTTGGGACAGAGGGAGTACCTTTTTTTGCCAAAAATAACAGAAGACCACCACTTCTTCGGCAGGTGAATAACATATTGCACTAAACGAGTTGTGAACCACGACTAACAGCAAACCTGACAGGTTGGGCCTACTTGCCGGACCAGGGCGTGGATGCGTAGAGAAGGATGCTAGCGGTGTGTGCAAACAGGTTTGGGCCCACGCACACACCGACCCACTCCCACTCATTCTGTCCCCACGACAGATCTCGCCATGGCCACCATCGGAGCTCTCTGCTCCTTGCCACCGTGAGGGCCTTCCCTCCTGGATGTCGCCTCTGAGTTGGGGGCGCAGCCGGCGGAGATGCAAGCGGAGCCGAAGGACCCCAGCGACGCCGACGACCCTGACCCCAGGAACAGTCCACGGAACCTCACCCTCTTCCGCCCCAACGCGCTGGCGCGGTTCCACCATCGACGCGTTTTTGCGTGAAAAAACACGTTTTTTTTTCTCAAGAGACACGGTTTTGCTTCTGTGAGAGGCACGACCGTGCCACTTGGAAACAAAAAAAAACATGTTTATTTTTTGCTTTCGCGAGCGGCGCGAGAAGCACGATTTTCTCGAAACAAAAAAAACATGTTTTTCCTTTCGCGAGAGGCACGATCATGCCTTTCGGAACGAAAAAACAGGTTTTTTTTTGCTTCCGCGCCGTGCCTCTCGGAAATGATTTTTTTTCTTTCGTGAGAGCAACAGTTTGTTTGCCTGGTTTGTTTTTGAGAAAAAAATTTCATCAAAACTTATCAACATGGGATCTAATTTTGAATATCTCGATGCAAAGAATCCAACGATGAAATCAGCTCGAGATTTAGACCCATGGTTTAGAAGATAAAACATTTTGAATAAATAAATGAATTAAAAAAAACTCTCGTATTGCGACAAATGACACACGTGCAGTACGGCTGAGAAGCTTTTTTTTCTTTGCACCGGCTGGGCCAGGCCACAGAGGACACCAAACGGGCTGGTTTTTGCGCGCCCGTTGCGAGCCAGGGAAACAAACACGCCCCTAGGGTTTTTCGTGTGCACAACCAAACCCGGCGGCGCCCTCCTCCGGCCGTCCCCACTCCCCCCTGCCATCCGGCGCCCTCCTCCGCAGCGCCACCGCCCCGGCGCCCGGCGGCTCGTTTGCCCGCACGGCCGCCCCTCACCGGCGACCCCCCTGAACTTTCCCCGTCTCGGGCAGGCAGAGAAACGGCGATGACGGCCGCCGTCGCCGGAGCGGACGACGAGAGGAAAGCGCAGGCCCTCGTGCGGTAATCCCCCCTTGCTTCCCGCAGAATCGCTCGCCCGGAAAATACCAAGGAGGGTTCACACGGGTTTGGTTTTGTTCATTCATTAACAGGGATGACGCGCCCAAGCTGCTCGCCGCTCTCAAGGAAATGAAGGACGGGCTCGACCTCGTCAGGTCCAAGGTCGAGTCGCTCACCCGCAAGGTACCCCCCGCTTTCCCCCCTCGCGGGCGACCCGTCTCACGCTATGATTCTGATGATTACGCGCGAGTTTAGCCGCCGGAATTCGGGACAACTAGGGGATGTGATTCTGGTTAAGCCGTTGGGGGGCCATGGCGAAAACGAAGAAAATTCTGTTGAATTTTGTGTGGTCTTGTTTAGGAAGAACCTAAACATGGGCATTTAGTTAATCTTGCTTCCAAACATCAGCCTGCAAACATGGAAGCCTAGTAGTAGGCAGGAAGAATGAGCAACAGGGCTGGAAAAGAAAACTACTCTCTCTGATCCATAATACCGTAGTTCAAAACTGCGACACTTATTTTGGATAGGAGGGAGTACTGATTAAACAACACCAGTAGTTAGTGTCTAACTTGCCATAGTTCCCATCATCTCCAAGCCGAAGCACAATATCAATCCAATGAAGCCCAAAAAAACATCTCCAATCAATCAAGCCCTGTTGATTGAGAAAACAGGAGAATAGAAGGGAGCAACAGAAATACAGAACAGAGGGCATGGTGGCCATCACCAGTTGATGTGAGACCAAACATTCTTTCTGCGGCCAAGTGGCTCCCTAAGGTCTTTCAGCTAATATAAAGGATAGGGAACAATACATGCACTGGTCAGCAGCTGCTTGCACTGATCCCTTATCCTAGATATTGCATGAATGTCACGTTTAGTCAAACAGATAGCCACTCTATCACATTTTGAATTCTTGAGAATCTATAGGAAGCGCCGACGCACCAGGAATGACATGTGCCGGCAAGCGAAACACAGAAACATGCCCCCCAAGTGCACACTTTCAATCCCAGTTGTTGGCCTTTGGCAGATTCTGCTGCTTCCTGTCTGAAAATGAGTAACATTTTCAGGTCAGATGAGATCAAATCTGGCTGTAAACAATCTTTAGTTTAGAAAACCTAGAAAAGGACCAATCTGGAGAGCTGTATGCACAAACAGAGGTGCAAGGAAGCTACCACCTATTCCAACTGAGACAATATGTATTAGCGTTTTGTTGCCCCAGCTTGCATTTCAAGAAGTAGCGGCGATTAATCTTTACTGTTTCTGCTATATTTGCCAAGTTAAGAGATTTGTTTCAAAATTTACCCATGAGCCACTTTTATAAGTTTCTGGAAACTGCTTGATTTTATCTCTAATAGCCCAGACTTCAGGAACCACATTCACCCCATCACTGTTTATGACTGCATCTCTTGGAGCCCTTAGAGCCACATAATTACTGATCTGTTCCCTGTACTATTTGTCTGACAAGCAAATCAATCAAGTCAACTTTGACATATCTTCCATCCATTCCTAATGTTAGCTTTTGGGTGGGTGGCAAAAACTGACGATTCTGTTCAATTTTCTGTGTGGTGCAGGTTAGGAAAAACCAGCTGCTGACAGGCGATGGCATTGGGTACCTGGAGGCCAAGCACCACCTGCTGCTGAGCTACTGCCAGGACCTCGTCTACTACCTGCTACGCAAGGCCAAGGGACTGTCCGTCGATGGCCACCCCGTCGTGCGCAGCCTTGTCGAGATCAGGCTGTTTCTTGAGAAGGTGTGTGCGCCCTTAAGTGTTGATTGTTAAGCTGCCAGTCTCCATTTATGCAGCTGTCTAATAGTAGATGGTGTTATATTTTCTGTGTGCTAGATTCGCCCAATAGACAAGAAGATGGAGTACCAGATCCAGAAGCTCACCAATGCTGCAGATGGTGCGGCTGCCCAGGATAAGGTGCCAG